TATTTCGGGTAATGGTTTTTGAAAAAAGTGATTTTTTTAAATAAAACCATTTTTTCTACAAACAATATTAGAAGAATTACTAATTTAGAATTTGTGTTCAGTGATTTTAGATAACTACTACCGCTGAGTGCATAAAAAAGATTTGTAGTGTTTGGTGATATATAAAAGAATATTTTTTAAAAAAATTGGATTACTTTGAAAACAGTTTTTGAAAAAACAATTGAAGGATGATTATCGTCCAAAAAGTTGTTTTTAAAATGATTAGTGATATGTTTGGGATGACTTTTGGAAAAAGTGATTTAAAAATAAAATTACTTTTGAAAGAAATATTGATTTAGAGTGTGTTTATTATCGTTCCCTCCGGAATGATTTTAGATAACTAAAAAGTTTTTTTCTTTGCCAAAAATTCTTTATAGTGTTTTATAATAAATAAAAAAATATTTAAAAAATCAAAATTAATCTAAAAATCATTTTTTAATGAATACTCGAGAGATGATTATGCAAAAAGTTACTTTAAAGTGATTGAGACTCTTATAATTTAAACATTTAAGAGATATAAAGAAGTGCTAAATAATAAAATATACCAAACTAACTTAACACTTTAACTACAAAGAAAAATGCAAAAAAAAGTTTTTTTTTTTTTTAAACGAGTACTTAAATGAAAAGATATATGTCAAACTTACCCTTCGTTTAAAGTTGTAAACTTTTTTTTCACCTTAAAAATACTATCTATAAAATGCTTTTAATTTGTAGTTAATTACAAATTTTAAAAAAATATTTTTATAATAAATTTGTTTGATTACACTACATTCAAAAGTGGAGTTTGATTTTAGGTTTTAAAAGTCACGTTAATGGAGCAAGTGGCTCAAAGTCGTAAAAGATGATGATGCAAAACATAGTAAAGACACTTTCGTATAGTTTGAGAATGTAAATATAGTTCCATAATTCAAAATGATAAAGGTAATTAATATATAAATAAAGTCAATATCTCAATTAATATAGGTGACAAAATGCACCTAAAGCTTTTAAAAAGAGTTACATTACCAATAAAGGGAGGATAAAGTTTGAATCTATCGCATAGAGCGGGACATACTTAATTAAATTGTGACCATTTAAATTATTATTAAAATCTGAGCCTAGTTCAACTAGTTGAGACATACATCTCTTCAATTAAAAGGTCGTGAGTTCAACTCTCTATCACTATATGTTGTTGTACTAAAAAAAATTATTGGGACCATACATAAGTAAATGTGTTTGGTCATAGCAAAACTTTAATAATCTCATCAATATTCAACTCATCCCAAAATATATTATTAAAGATGTATATAAAAAATGAATAAAGTAAGTAATATATATTTTTTAAAAATAGTCATATGAATATCTTTGGTTAAAAACCACATTTGATTGCTTTACTTTTATTGAAATAATAATTTAGTCCAAAATTTTAGTATGCAACAATTTATTCCCTTTGGTTTAAAAGTGTGTAACAATTTATTCCCTTTAGTTTAAAAGTGTGTAACGATTTAGTTCAAAAATTTTAGTATATAATAATTTAATTCCTTAGTTTAAAATCTATAACAATTTAATGACCTTTACGATAAAAACTCCCGTTAAAGTGTAATAAGGGTTTGATATGATAGCTACTTGGATCCCATGTGTACAAAGATAATGACGTACGGTCACGTATGCATAAAAGAAAATGACAAGTTGGTGGAATCTAAGAGAGATTTGCCACATTAAACCAACATTAAACTATACTGTAATAAGTTTTTTTATATGACTGAAAACTAAATTAATTACGTACTAAAATTTAGAAACTAAATCCTTAACAAATTCTACGATTAAACTATACATACTTAAAGTCATAAATTAAATAATTACTTCAATAAAAGAAAGTATAAGGATCAAATTTGTTTTTTCAAAGTAACGAACTATTCGAGAACACAATAAGAGAGTGATTTGTCTCGTTTGTCCCGACTTTTCTGGGTTTTGGACACGTGTAAAAGCCCTCCAAACTTTATACCAACCAAAGCATTACTCTTTTTTTTCTCTCTCGGTCTCTTTTGATATTGGAGGTTGGTAGACTTTGAACATCACCAATAATTAGGGCTAAAGCAAAAGGAAAAATAGTTATAAATAAAAGTTGAAGATTACTCACATGCCCTGTTTATAGAGAGTAAAGCCAAAGAATAGATGCTCTTGATGTCCCATTTGGGCAGCTCACACTCAATTGTCCAATCAAATAATGCCACCACCACATGTAAAAACAACTTCATTAAAGGCAATCAATAATATACAATAATATATCCACATGTGGTTGAGAATATATTCACCAAATGTGACCAAAAGATATATGTTTGTGTGTATCCAAAGAATAATATATAGATGAGCTAAGATAAGGTTAGATAAGCCTTTTTTTTTTTTTTTGGAGTTAAGTTCTGTCTATTACTGATTTTTCTTTGTTTGGACTCTCACTTTTTTGAAATTCAAGATAAATTTAAAAAAAAATTAAAAACACATTATTAAAAATTATATGTATAAGTTTAGCTTTTTAAATTTGATTAGAGTTTTAAAAACATTTGTCCTTCTAAAAAAATGGACCAAAAGATCACAGAGAAATTGTTGTTAGTAAATAAACTTGAATTAAAAAAAGAAAACCTAAACCAAAATCATTACCAAAATGGTCTTAAATTTTAGGTTTAAATACTATTTGGATCACTAATTCTGGTTCATTTTGTTAATGATCTCACATTGAAAAGAGAATGAACCTTACATAGGTTTATAGCTACTCCTCTTATTGCTAATTGGTTTTGAGATGGAACCTCATGAATGTTAATATGGTATCAGAGCCCAAAACGCTCAAACGAGCAACCGGTCCAAAAATGGGATCCGGCCAAGATCGATGAGCCAAAAGAGCCACGATCTTGATGGGGCACGTTAAGTGGTTTTGAGATGGAACCTCATGAATGTTAATACATTTTGCACCATGTACTTTTCAAAACGTTAGTTTTGGTCCTTGTATTTTTTTAAAAAAGTGACTATTTTGGTCCCTATTTACAAAATTTTAACACAAAGTTTATATACAATAGAAACTCTTTAATATAAATGATTATATTTCAAGAAATTTAGTTAGCGTAACATCATGCTAGTAAAAAAAATGAGACAAAATTGTCACTGTTTAAAAGTACAGAGACTAAAACGAACATTTTGAAAAGTTCAAGGACTAAAATGAACAAAAATACAGGGACCGAAATAGACATTTTGAAAATACATAGACTAAAATTAACAAATGTTAAAATTACAGGGACATAAATATTTAAACCTAAATTTTTAACTATTCTATTTAAACTCGTGAACGATGAAAATTCTAGTCTCTGACTTTGTCTTCGAATCGTAAGTTTCAGCCCGTTCCCAACTTGCCTCGCTCTCAGGTTGGCCCTTAGTGGGTATATGGTCCTGTCTCGCCCATGGTGCGGTCAGCTATGATATACTAAACTTCTTCTTGTTCAGTTTTCGGGATCTCGAAAAGGCGTGGAAACACAGAAAAACTCTGGAATGGAAATGGAAAAGAGATGTAACTCCAATTTCTTCGAAAATAGGGCTAATATTTACCATTTTTTTTTAGTACAACAATTGTGGGGATGAAATATCAAACCTCTGACCTAGAGAGAGACTTTGAGAGAAGGACTTAAATGCCTTAATTACTGAGAGCTAAGTTCATATTGATGTCTAATATTTACAGATTGATGTTATATTCTTCTCTATCTAAATCCTTACTGGTTATAAGACCTCGGTTTCTACGATAAAAAGTCGAAAAGTTGCTTTTGAAAAAAACTCCAAAAACAACCACCTAGACTAACAAAAATGTGTCTATTTCAACTTTCTTCACATCTAAATAGCAAATTTGAAGCATTTCCTTCAATTTGTTTCTCTTCTAACTATGAAAAGTCAATGGAATTATATTGGTCATCAATTGTTAGAATATAGAACAGCAACAAAAGTGGAGAGAACTCAAGACTTGGACAGATAAAACAGAAGAAAATGCTCAAATCAACAGTTTAATTAACAAACTTCAGAGAGAGAGAGAGACAGTGGATATACATGGAATGAGTTTATTGGACAGTGTGAATAAGTTTTTCTTTGAAAATTTTGTGACCTTCTATTGGCTCATAATTGATGAGTTGTTAGAGGTGTAAAAAGAAAAAAGGAATGATTGCAGTTGTCAAAAACTTAATTTATTGCAAATGATGTTTTCCTTGACTAGTTAATAAGAATCTTTTTAACTGCCACTAATAAATATTTTTTTGAAACAAATATTTTTTTTCTCTCTTTACTTTTGTATTTTCCTCCTAAAAAATTTAATGTTGGTAAGCATTTCTATTTTTATTTCTCGTTTCAAATTTTTTAAAAACATAAGTGTTTTGATAATTTTTATCTATTTTTTTTTCTCATTTATAAAAACTGTAGGATAGAAATTTTGGAAATAACAAAATCAAAGGTCTTGTTTCTAATTACTATTTTCTTATTTATAAAAAATGTAGTCCCACAATTGTGTAGAAATTTTGAAAATAACAAAATTAAAGGTCTTGTTTCTGAGTTCTATTTCCTTTTTTTTCAAAATATAGATAAAAGCATTATTTTACTATTTTCTATTTTTAAAATTCATAATAAATATCAAAAAATAAATATCTCACAATATTTAAATATCAAAACTTCTACTTTTTTTTTTAAGAAATAGGTAAACAAAATGTTCTCGTATCTTTTTTAAATAAAAATAATAATAAACAAGAAACAGTTATCAAACATATTTTTGTTTTTCTTCTTGATTTGAAAGGAAGAAACAAAAAATAACAACATTATCAAATAAATCTTAACCATAGTATTTTTAGAATAATGTTAAAAGGAAAAAAAGGGAAAAACAAAATCAACAATCCAATGAAGTGAAGCAATTAAAGACTGTGCCTCTCCTCTCTCTCTTTGCCTTTATTATTATTGGTATAAAGTCCATTCCCCACTCCATTGGAATCTCAAACTTTTCAAAGCTTTTTTCTTTTCCTATTTTGCAGCTCTTTTGAGCATAAAATTCTGCTCCTTCTCCTCTCTTCGCAGAAAAACTGCCCTTTTGAACCAAAGAGAGAGAGAGAAGAGAGCTTCTTCAATAATGGAAGGTGTAATTCATTTGCAGAGGCAACTGCTTGACTACACAAACTCACTCTTCAAAGAGGTTAGATATATCAAATACAAACTTTTTGCTCATCTTTTTTCCTTTCTTTCGTTTTGCTCCACTCCGCTCGGTAACTAAGTTAAAGCCACCTAGGAGCAACGACAAATGAGAGGAAAACTACAAAATCTTACGCATTATTTATGTATTTTATTCTATGAATTACAACCAAGCTTTTCCAATAACTAAAGATTCCGTTTGATAATCATTTCGTATTTGATTTTTTCGTTTTCAAAATCTAAGTCAAATTTTGAAAACTACTAGTTTTTAGAAATTTTTTTTTGTTTTCAGAATTTGTCCAATGATCCAAATGTTTTTCTAAGAAACGTGAAAAAGGTATAAAATAAACTGCGAAAAATCACAAGTATACAAACAAGGCCTAAACAGGCAAAGTCTAGACAAAATCTTGTAAGACTTAATCAAGTACAGACCGTTGTTAAAAAGTTGAAGGCTACATTTTTTTCCTTTTTAATTTAAGTAGAGAATCTCTACTCTCTCATTTTACCCATTATTCTTCTAGAATAGTTGTCAATATTATGAATCACACGACAAGAATTTATAATAGACATGGACTACTCTTCTAATTGTCAATTGGTTTTTAGATACAACGTCATGAATATTGATATATATGAACTACTTCCCTTAGGTGACCAACCGTCAATAAAAATATTATAAATTTTTTTTTTTTTCATTCTTTGTTCTAGGGATATTTGGATGATCAGTTTACACAGCTTCAGAGCTTGCAAGATGAGAGCAATCCAGAGTTTGTGGTGGAAGTGGTTTCTCTATTCTTTGAAGATTCTCAAAGGCTCATCAATGAACTGGCTAAAGCTCTGTATGCACTTTTATTTGGACTCAACAAATTAATTATTGTATATTTTTATAATATATTACTCTATTTTTTTTTCTTTTTTGTTTTTGGAGATTAAAAGAATCTTTCATTTAATTTAATTTCCCCTCTCCCCCACAGTCAGCAGCAATGTATTGATTTCAAGAAAGTGGATGCTCATGTTCACCAGTTGAAAGGCAGCAGCTCGAGGTTAGTTGTTCAACGTTGATTTGGCTTAAAATGTCAATGTTGATGAATATTTCAAAACAAATTTGTCAAATTATGACAAGGCGTAAATATTGATATATTAATACTCTAATAGTGAGTTTAGAGATGACTTCGAAAAAGTGTGAAAGTATTTTTTCGGTAAGTACTTTTTGAAGTATTAAATAAGTGCGCTTTTTGATGTTCTAGAATTTTCAAAATTGGCTTTTATTTTGATTATTTAACCAATCGTTATAAAAAAAAATTTCAAATTAAACACTTATTTGAGTTGATGTAACATCCTCGTATTAGTCCATGAAGTTTCATATTTGTTTCATTTCTTTCAGTTTTTTCTTTTTTATCTCTTTGACGAATTTCGTTTTATGTTTTTTTTTTTAAACTTTATAGAAAAAAATTATTTTCCTTCATGTTGCTAAATCTCTTTTCATATTTAACCAAACATTTTGGTGACGTAAAGTTAATTAGTGTTCCAACTTCTGTTTATCAAATTTAGAAATAGATAATTTAAAGATTTTTTTTTAATACAACAATTTGAGGATAATAGGAGATCGAACCTCCGACTTCGAAGGAAGGAATACATGTTAATTAAGGTTAATTAATGCTCAATTATGCTCATGGGGATCTTTTTAATTAAAAAATACCATGTTTATGTAAGTGGGTTCAGAGATTAACTAAAACAAAGTAATTTAAATTTATAAAGACCAAACCCTAATGAACATGAAAATGATGGAATTAATATAAAATGGTATATAAATACCTTTTAATTATTTATTTATTTGTTATTGAATAAAAAAAAAACACAGCATTGGAGCACACAAAGTGCAGAGGGCTT